AGCTGCCCCAGCCTGGAGACAAAACAAGCTTCCAGGCCTCAAGGAGCTGGTGGGGACTGAGCCCGTGTGCAGTGGCAGCTATCCTACCAAATCCAGGAGGGAGTGTAAGCTGGGGAGAGCATCTCTGATTTTCAAGGGAAACAGAATGGATAGAAAATTTGGTAAGCCCAAATCCAGCTGTGGCCATATGAGTGGACACAGAAATAAGAAACTTAGCCTCTATTTGTATTTTCTTTCATCTCTTTCCCCCAACATTTTATTACGAGATTGATAAACTTATAGAAAAGGTGAAAGAATGATACGGCGAACACTCATGTCCACAACAAATTCTACAGTTGATATTTTCTTTATCATTCAATCTACCATTAATTCAACATGTTTTAAATGCACTTCAAGTTAACTTCCAGAATCAGATCTATATCCTTGAACAGTTCACCAAGTAAGTTACCAAAAGGAGTTCAATATTTGTTTAGTTAAAAGTTTCATACAGTGAAATGCACAGTACTTAGAAGTCCTGCATAACTCAGATTCAGTCATTTGTATTTTCATCATGACTAATGATTTTGAGCATATTTTCTTCTGCTCATTGGCTGTTCCTATAGTTTCTATAAGAATATTTTATAAATTTCTATTGAGTTGTTTTTCTTATTAAATTTGAGAATTCTTTATATATTCTGGACATTAGTCTTGTCAGACATAGGATTTCCAAATAATGTCTCTTAGTTTATGTCACACTTATTTTCTTTTTTAAAAAATATATTTTATTCATTTTTTACAGAAAGGAAGGGAGAGGGATAGAGAGTTAGAAACATTGATGAGAGATAAATATCAATCAGCTGCCTCCTGCACACTCCTTACTGGGGAAGTGCCCACAACCAAGGTACATGCCCTTGACTGGAAAGACGCTCTATTCACTCAGCAAAACCGGTTAGGGCCACACTTATTTTCTTATGATACCTTTAATGGGAATGTTTTTAATTTTGCGGGGGGAGGGGGACAAAACTTGTTGTCTTTATTTATTTATTTTTGGAATGTTTTTAATATTGATGTGGTCTTCTTTATTTACTTTTTAAAAAATGTATTTAATTCTGTAGTCCTGTCTTTTAAACCTTTTATCTCCAAGTGCTTATACCTAAAAAAGTTAAAGGGAAAAAGTAGTAGGCTAATTTTTCTTCTAGAAGTTCTTTTAGTTTTTAGGATTGGGTGTATAACCATCTGAAATTAAGTTTTCAGTATTGTGTAAGACCGAAATTGAGTTTTAGTTTGTTCTAAATGAATGTCTGATAGTGCCAGAACTATTTGTTGAAAAGATTATCCTTTTTACTGTGGTGCCTTTGTCAAAAATCAAATTACAACTTAGTGTAGGTCTATTTCTGGGACCTTTACTCATTTTTATTGACCAACTTGTTGATCCTTATGCTGGTACTATACTATGTTGATCAGAGGAGCTTTCTACTAAGTTTTAAACTCCATTTAAGTCCTCCATATTTGTCCTTTTTGAAGATTGCTTTGGATATTTTAGGTACTCTGTATTTCCATATAAAGTTTAGAATAAGCTTTTTAATATCTACCAAAAGAGAAAAAAAAGCCCGGTGGGGTTATGAGAAGGATTGCATGGGAATCTTTTTTCAGACTTTTCGGAGGCAACCACTCCTAAGAAAGCATATAATCTTATAATCCAATCCCTGTCTTGTTATCTCCCACCCTCATGTAACCTTCTTACATTCCCGCCTAAATTTCAAATGTATAAAAGAAACTGCAGAGTGGGTGTATGGCATAGGCAGCAAGGCAGCGGCACTGGTGCGCGGGCAGGTGGCGGCGGTGGCGAGGGGCCGGAAGATGGCAGACCTGCTCAGTGTCCTGCGACAGTACAGCATCCAGAAGAAGGAGATCGTGGTGAAGGAGGACAAAGTCATCTTCGGCGGCGAGTTCCTCTGGCCCAAGAACGTGAAGACCAACTACGTGGTGTGGGGGACTGGACAGGAAGGCCGACCCAGGGAGTACTACACGCTGGATTCTATCTTATTTCTACTTGATAACGTGCACCTCTCTCATCCTGTTTATGTCCGCCGCGCAGCCACTGCAAACATCCCTGTGGTGAAGGCCTGGTAGAGGTACTTTCATAAAACCATAACAATCATATTCCGGATACAATTTTAAATTTAATTTTACTTGAATTTCACAAAAGAAAGAGACGTTCATGGAATTGCTGAATTTATATACATATTTCCTCTAGGCAAGAGATACTTCCCCTAAAATATCCCTTCAAGATTAAAAAGAAGAAGAAGAAGAAGAAGAAACTATCAGAACATTAAAGGTTGAAGTCATTATGATTTTTACCAAGGTCATGTTTTCATTTTTGTTGGCGTAGACTGACTTCTTGCTGTGAAAGATGAGTCTAGTTTCCTTGTGTACTTGTTTATCTTTAATTCTATACTTAACATTTCTTTGAAAATTTATGTGTAGGAAGAATTTATGGCCTACAATTATAACGCGTTCCTCCAGAGATGAATTGTATTTGCTTTTGCCAGGCATCTGGAGGCATCAGTTTGAGACCACCTGAACGCAAGATCAAGACTTGAGCCAGTTTGGCTTAGTGGATATAGCGTGGGCCTACAGACTGAAGGGTCCTGGGTTCAATTCTGGTCAGAGGCATATTCCTGGCTTGTGGATTCCATCTCCAATAGATTCTCTTTCATCATTGATGTTTCTATCTTTCTCTCCCTCTCCCTTCCTCTCTGAAATCAATAAAAAAAATCCTATATAATAAAAGCCCAGCTACCATAATGGCATAATGACCAGAACGACTGCTTGACCAGTCGCTATGAGGTGCATTGATCACCTCTCGGTCCCTCCCGCCCGGCCTGTAGGCTCTGATTGCTGGATGGTGAATGGGGAACCGGTGTGGGTGGTGGCAGTGGGGTGGGGTGGGACTGGGGGCTGGTTATTGGGCTGAATGGCCGACCTCTTCGTTCCTCCCCCCTCCCCCCCACCCCGTGCCTGCAGGCTACGATCAATCGCCAGATGGTGAACGGGGGAACAGGGACCTGGGGTGAGTGGCGGTGGTGGGGTGGGACTGGGGACTGGCCAGTGGGTGGAATGGCCGACCTCTTGGTCCCTCCCCCTGGCCTGCAGGCTACGATTGATTGCCGGATTGTGAATGGGGAACTGAGGTGGGTGGTGGAGTTGGGGTGGGGTGGGGTGGGACTGGGGACTGGCCAGCGGGAGGAAGATGGCCCTGATCGCAGGCTAGCCAGCAGGCTACGATTGATCGCCGGATTGTGAATGGGGAACTGAGGTGGGTGGCAGAGTTGGGGTGGGGTGGGACCCCAGCAATTCCACTTCCAATTCATCCTCATCCTGAGGGTGTGGCCTTTTGGGGACCCATAATTGCACAGAAGGTCTTGGACTTCACTCCCTACACATTGTGTTTTATTTATGTTTATCTTCTTAGAAGTGTAAAAGGAAGATCACAATTTCCATTTAGGTAAATTTCTCAGGGCAAAAGCATCTTCCAGTGTTTCAAGTTGGATTGCCTGTTCCCAATTGGATTATCTCCCTGGATCTTGCTTTCCAGCTTTTGGTCTGATAATTCTATCTTGCCATCTCTTAGACACCGTGTTATGGGCTGAATTGTTTGTCCCCAAAATTCATATGTTGAAACCCTAACCACCAGTACCTCAGAATGTGACTGTATTTAATCACATATTTTGGTGATTAAACATAATCACTTTAAAGAGATAAGTGAGTTAAAATGAGGCATTAGAATGTGCTCTAAACCAGTCTGCCTGGTGTCTTTATAAGAAGAAGTAATTTGGACAGGCAGCGACGTACCAGGGCCATGAAGGCACGCAGAGGAAAGACTCAGGGAAGACACAGGGAGAAAGCAACTGTTTGTAGCCAAGAAGAAAGGTCTCAGGAGAAGTCAACCCTGCTGACACCTGGATCCTGGACTTTTGTTCTCCACAACTGAGACAACACATTTCTGTCATTTAAGCCATCCAGTTATGACTGCCCTAGTAAACAAAAACATTAGTTTAGTCAACTTTAAAAACATTACAATACATATATTTCAGACATTTACTTTTTAAATATATATATGTATATATATATGTATATATATATATATATATATATATAGAGAGAGAGAGAGAGAGAGAGAGAGAGAGAGAGAGATTTCACAGAGGAAGGGAGAGGGAGAGAGAGAGAAAGATAGAAAGATCAATGATGAGAGAGAATCATTGATTGGCTGCCTCCTGCATGCCCCCTACTGGGGATAGAGCCTGCAACCCGGGCATGTGTCCTGACCAGTAATGGAGCCATAACTCCTGGTTCATAGATCAATGCTGAGCCACACCAGCCGGGCCAGACTTTTACTTTTTAATATTATTTTCTGAGGTGCGTTGATACAAATATCCTAGCCCACAATTACCAGAGAGGAACTCTAATTATCCTCTACTCTCCACTCTACACGCTGCTTCCCTTTTCCTCATAGCCCTTACCATCAGCTAGTCCTAGAATGTTATCTATTTTCCTATTTATTTATCTGTTTAATTTCACCGGAATTAATATACAAGAAAGCAGGCTGCATTTTAATAACTGCTGTAGCCTCAGATCCTGAGACAATGCGTGGCAGATCGTAGGCACTAAGGAGACAGTTGGTGAATGAATGAATGAATGAATGAATGAGTGAGTGAGTGACAAGAAGGGGCTTCCCCACCGGAAGAAGTGGCAGTCCACGCGGTCTCTTGGACCGCTGTCAGGAAACGCCGCAGATCCACTCGGGTGGTCGCTGCCCCTGGGTCTGGAGAGTCCGCTGGGGGGCGCGCTCCCGGCATCCAGTTTCCGGGTTTTCGCGTGCGCCCCACCATCCTGGAGCCGGCGGGCTCCTCCACGGCCATCGTGGGCGGAGCCAGCGGCGGAGCGGGTGGAGCCGCCGGAAGACTAGCGGGCGCGGGGCGGGGTGGCTGGCCTGCGGGGCGGCCGCCTTGGGTGGGCCGTACCCCGGGGTGCACTGGGGCCTGCGCAGAGGCGATCGGTAGCGCGGGCAACGGCGGGGGCGCGTCAGAGGCTGGGGCGCTGGAGACGTCGGGCTGCGGCCCAGGAGGCGGGGCGCGGGAGGACCTGGCCGCCGCCCGGCGCTGAAGCCGCCTCCTAGGAGATGTGCCCTAGCCTAGGAGTGCGGGGAGCGGGTACGGGAGCCTCTCCCTTTGCGGCGCCCAGAGCCCGGCTCCGAGAGGTGCGGCGGGAGAGGCCACGTTGGTTGATCAGGAGCCGCAGACCCGCCTTAGGCCGCTTCTCCTTGGGAATTTGGAGAAGACCCACTGCCAGTCCGGAGGCCGCCGTGAACGCTGGGCGTCTTTTGAAGAATGATGGTTTCGCTTGAGAATGTGGTCTGTCTGAAGAAGGCTGGGAAAGAACAAAATCTGGTACCAGTCCTCCTCCAAACAGACACCCTCTGCAGCTGAAAGCCTCGAGAGCGAGCGCTCTCACGCCCCCGTCTCCGGTCCTACCCGCGCCCGAGGCGGATCTGGTGAGTAGGAGGCCACCCTGCCTGTCGTCAGTCCAGAGAGGCAGGTCGGGGTAGTGAGAACGGGGGCATCGTCTAAAGAAGCTTCTCTGCCATTAACCGTTTCATAAATTTCTCCACTTTGGTAACAAGACATTTACTTTTTGTATATTCAGAAGCAGGCTATTTCCCACATGCTCCAGTCGGTAGGATGCAGCCCTTTCTCTGCACCAGTCACAGCTGAAAAAGAGAGGTGCCCATTAACCACATACCCTTCCCCCACAAACTTCAAAAAGTTGGGTCGGCTTCCTTTCCAGGGAGCTAGGACTGATTTGGGGGCCCAGATACACTGGGCCTGGTCGCTGTGGAGCGATCTACCTGCTCAAATGACAGGGACGGGATGAGCCAGAGGATGTATTTGAGTTTTGTTCTGTTTTTCCAAAATTGCCTGTTACAAACACTTCTGCAGTAGTCTTCAATTGTACTCGAAGTACTATATTTCCTCCATTTGTAGGCATACTCCTTTCCCCAAATTTTTAACATTTTTGAAATCGGGATACGTCTTAACAGAGAGGTTAAAAGGACTTGCTAGCTGCTAGGCATCTACGTGGGTGTGTCTGTCACTATTTGCCCCTGTGAAAATGCAGCTATATGATTATTCCATCAGTTGAAATACTTGAAATTAACTTTGAATTGAGATTTCTTAATTGTTTTTAAAAATAACTTGAGAAGACCCGGCCCAGTAGGTCACTTGGTTAGAGCATCATCCCGATGTGCCAAGTTTGCGGGTTCCATCCTCAGTGGTAGAACAACAAATTGATATCTCTGTCTCTCAAAAAAAATGGAAGAAAAAAAACTTAAAAAGATAATGCTCTCCTGCAGCATTAAAGCGAAAGGTTTATAATAATGTTTACTAAAGGTTTATTGTTTGCCTAACATTGTCTCAATTAATCAACTTTACAACCCTATGAAGTACGATTATTATTTTATAGGTGAAGAAACTGACGCTCAGTTTAAGTGCCTTAGAACTTTTAAGTGCAAGAGCCAGGATTCTAACCCAGGCTGTCTGATTTCAAATCTATATCCAGGCAGAAGATGCCATGTGGCTTTTAAGGGGGGAAATCAAGGCAGGATTGGTGCATATCTGTGTATCTTTGGCTGTTTGTGTGTGTGTATGGAACCGGGAGACAGAGCCACATCCAAGAGCATTGATTATACTTATTCCCACATTGATGCCAAATCTTTGTTTTTGGATCTTTTGCAGTTCTAAAGATATTTCTGCAAGTTCTGGATTTCTGGCTGTACGAGGGTGCTCCTGGGTCCCTCCTCTCCTGCCTTGTGTTCCTGATAGAGGCATACACTCAAACCTACTCAAACCTACTCAACTTGCTGCCTCCCAGGGAGGCCGTACTTAATTTCAGAGAGGAGTCAGTGTTTCAGAGCTGTCCAAGTCACATTAGCCTCTAGGAGCCCCCAGGTTCTGGTGCTGCAGGAACATGCCAAAGCCCTGAGGGCAGGGGACTGTGATCAGAGGAGGACCACACAACTGTGAAGCCTCTCAGCAGAGGTTCTGGCCGTGTCCTCACCGGAAGTGGACAAGTCTGATCAGGTGGACATCATTATGCTGCAGCAGCTCTTGATCACCCTGCCTGCGGAGGCCAGCCCCTGGGTGAAGTTGCACCATCCAAAGAAGGCCAAGGAGGGGCTGCCCCTATGGGAGGATGTGACTAAGATGTTTGAAGGAGAAGGTGAGAATAGACTGATGAAGGGGGGAATGGATGGGGAACTAGGAGATCTCATTTGTGTGTCAAAAGATAGGTGCACTTCATTGTTCTGGTCTCAGGGAGAAAGTTGAGGGGAAAGCAGGTCTCTGAGGTTCATGCTTGTGGCTTTTGGGAAGGGGAGAGCTGTGAGAGTTCTGGAGTTCTGACTGTGTGATGGTGGTTTCTGGATCCCTCCTCTCCTGCCTTGTTGCTCCTCTATAAGAATAGAGGCATGCACTCAACCATACTCAACCGGCTGCCTCGCGAAGAGGCAGTACTTACTATTGTGCTCTCAGCACAAGCTTCTTGTTGACATGTGCTCAGTGCTGCCCCCTGCTGCTTCCATCTCCTGTCCTCAGTACTACACAGGACAGGAAAACAGAACACAAGATGGTCCCCACCTGCGACTCCTGAGTGTGTAAATGTGATTTATAGATAGCAAAGTCAAAGCTTTTTGCACCCTTAAGCCCTCCCCCCCCCATGCTTTTTCTTCACCAGTTTCAGTCATTTTAGCCTCAAATCAATATCAGTTCTTGACATGCTTGATTACTCCTATTTTACCTTGAAATATAGGTTCAGTGGGAAATATGTCCAAAACTACACATTATTTAGTGGTCTGGTCAGGATAGATAGATGGATAGAGGAATTTGTGTGTTTCGTGTAGTCTCTTAATTCATACCTTTAACACTGTAGATTCAGTCAATATTTATTGTATTCTAGCTGTGTCAGGCAGGAACTTTGCTAAAGCATCTTGACAGATGGAAAAATGAATAATGATCTCTATGCTAAATATTTTAAAAATATATATATTTTAATATATATTTTATTGATTTCAGAGAGGAAGGGAGAGAGAGAGAGAAAGAAACATCAATGATGAGAGAGAATCATTGATCTGCTGCCTCCTGCACGCCCCCTACTGGGGATCGAGCCTGCAACCCGGGCCTGTATCCTTGACTGGAATAGAACCTGGGACCCATCAGTCCACAGGCCAACGCTCTATCCACTGAGCCAAACCAGCTAGGGCAAAATATATTTTTATTGATTTCAGAGAGGAAGGTAGAGGGAGAGAGAGAATTGTTGATCGGCTGCCTCCTGCACGTCCCCTACTGGGGATCGAGCTTGCAACCCGGGCATGTGCCCTTGACCGGCATCAAACCTGGGACCCTTCAGGTTCGATTTATCTACTGAGCCAAACCAGCTAGGGTGCTAATTATTAATTGATGGAGACAGACACATACCCAGACCACATACCCATAATAGAAGGTAACCTAGGAAAATGCTATGATAAAGTTCTTTTGGAAGACAAGAGATAGGAAACATTTTTCCAGTTGTGCTCATCTGAGAAATTTTCACAAAGCAGATAGCATTGAATTGGGCCTTGAAAGATGTCTAAGTTTTTTTGTCGAAGAGTCAGAGAATGGAGACCATTGTAGTCTGAGATTGGTGTTCGAGTCCAACAGATAGAGGATGGTGATTAGAGGAAACCAGTGCTGGGAAGATATCAGGTGGACCGTAGAGTGCCTGGAAGTCCATGGGAAGGGAACAAAGGAGTGGCTCGGTGGATCTGTGCTTTTGGACCAGCATTGACCATTGGGAAATACTAATGCCCAAAAGAACACACTGCAGATCCTCCTCGTTAAGGGGCCTCCAGTCTGCTTGCGTCGCTCCAAATGTCCCTCTTTGTGAATGTATTGAGAGAGGATCCATATTCAGCAGGTCTGTAGGCAGTTTTGGGGGCGTTTGGGAAGTGCAAACCTTATGGCTCTTTTCCTTCCTCAGCTCTGCTATCTCAGGATGCTAATGAGACCCAGGGAGAAAGTTTAAAGGATGAAGGGACTTCTGGGGCCCAGACAGCAGAATTCCAGGTGGGTTGGAATTTCCTCTCATTTTTTTGACATGCTTCTTGGTTTTTAAGGGCATAACGCCCCTCTTCTTGGAGTGGGAGGTTGTTGAGGCTAACGAATTTAACCTAGGGAGCTTAGAGAATATTGCTCTTGTACAGAAAATGGCAACGGTAGTAGCAATTTATCTGCTCATAGAAGTTATACTTGCCTCCATGTAACTCTAACATTGTGTTGCTAATTTCTGTAAAGAATGCAAAATGAGTGATAGAATTTTAGCCTCTAAAAACCAACAGATACCTCTTGGGACCTAAGATAAGTCTCATTTTTAAATTTATTTTTTAGTATTTATAACTGAAAAACAAATTTTGTAAATGAGAAGTTCTGACATTCTTTTATTATTATTTTTATATATTTTTTAAAAATATATTTTTTTATTGATTGCAGAGAGAAAGGGAGAAAGAAAGAGAGAGAGATAGAAACATAATGATGAAAGAGAATAATTGAATGGCTGCCTCCAGCACACACCACACTGGGGATTGAGCCCATAACCTGGGCATGTACCCTAACCGGGAATTGAATTGATCTTCTGGTTCATAGGTCTGTGCTCAACCACTGAGCCACACAGACCAGGATGACATTCTTAATGGTGTACACATATCACTTGTGAACTTAATGAGGTGACCCTTAGAGTATTGGGAACAGAGATCAAACTGCAGCCAAAGAATCAAGAAGAGAAGAAATGGTCTGGCCACAGGTGCACACGTTAGCCTGGGCAGATACAACAGGTGTCAGAATGGGTGTCCTCACCGCCTGGTGGAAGGATAGGTGAGACAGAAGGAAAATTTTTGAATAAACAGAAAACGAAGATCATTAAAGAGGAGATGTTATTCGAGGACAGAAGAGTTTTAAGTGAACAGAACTTGGGTTCTAAAATTAGATGGTACAAGATTTGAACTTAGCTCTTGAATTTACTTGCTTGGTGATCTGTGGCAATATTTTTTAGCTATTTAAAATCCCAGTTTCCTCAGCTAATTCAGATGCTCATACTTTCTAGGAGTGAAATGCATTCCAGAGTTAGAGAAATGTGGAAGTAATAATAGTCTAATTATTTAAGGGGTTATCTCTGCATTCTACTTTTTAGAATTCCTCACTTCCTGACACTTATTGAAACTGATGAGATTTAAACTTAGCACTGGGAAAAGATTAAAATTAAAAAAAAAAGAGGTATATACCTCTTTCAGTGGTTAGAGCATTGGCTCTCAGACTGAAAGGTCACAGGTTTGATTCACAGTCAAGGGCATGTACTTCGGTCACAGATTCGATCCCCAGTCCTATGTGGAAGGCAACCAGTCAATGTGTCTCACATCAATGTTTCTCTCTCTCTCTCTCTCTCTCTCTCTCTCTCTCTCTCTCTCTTTCTCTCTCTCTCTCTTCCCTCCCTTTCACTCTCTCTAAAAGTCAATGGAAAAAATATACTCAGTGAGGATTAAAAAAAAGAGGTATAATTTATACATAGGATAAAACACTTAAGAAAGTGCATAGCTCTTTTTGACATATGTGTACACCATCTACTGCAATCAAGATCTAGAACATTTCCACCATCTCAGAAAGTTCCCTGGGATCTCTGTTTATTTCTTACTAGTGGCTCGGTGCACGGATTCATGCACATTGAAAGGAAATTAATTACAAGAAATATTTTAATATTGCTATTTGTCCTTTCTCTATAATAGAAGTGTCAATCAAATTCACAGTCAACAATGACAGATCGAAACACACGCGTGCACTTGACACCAGCAAGAGCTTTATATGTGTCATGCATGCGTGAGTCCAGTTGGTGGGTCAGAGGGATGGACATACAGTCGGTCATTTAGCCTTTTATATATATAGATAACTGCAAGTAAATCTATCTCAAAATAGATTTAATGATCATGTTAAAGTCATCTTGAAATATAAATGTAATTTTAAAAATAATCTAAAAAATTAAATAAAAATAATCTATTCAGTAATGTTCTATAAATGTTAATTAGATTAAGTTGGTTGGTAGGTTGTTCAAAGTTATATCTTTGATGAATTTTTGTCTAATTGTGTCAGTTATTGAGGGAAGAATGTTAAAATCTCTATCTTGATTTTGTCTCTATCTCCCTTTAGTTCTGTCAATTCTGCTTTATTTTGAATTCTGTGGTCAGATGCATAAACATGTGGGATTGTTGTCTTCTTAATGAACTGATCCTTATAATTATGAAATGTCTCTTTATGCCTAGTAATATTTCTTTTCCTGAAGTCCACTTTGTCTGATTTAATGTAGATCCTCCAGTGTTCTTTTAGTTATTGTTTGCATGGTATAACCTTTTCCATTCTTTTAGTTTTAACCTCTCTTTGTCTTTTTATTTATTTTTTTCTGAGTGGTGTGATGAAATATCACACCATTCTGCTCCATCCTGCCCAGGATGTAAACCATCCCTTTGTCCAGCATATTCAGCCTATATACGGTATACTCCCCACCCATTAACTACTTAGTAGCAATTGGTTATCAGATCAATTGTCATGGTATTGCAGTGCTTGTGTTCAAGTAACCCTTATTTTGCTTAATAATGACCCCAAAGTGAAAGATTAGTGATACTGGCATTTCAGATAAGTGCTTTCTTTAAGTGAATTGGAAAAAAACATTATATATAGGGTTTGGTACTATCCATGGTTTCAGGCATCCACTGGTTGTCTTGGAACATATTCCCATGGATGGGGGCGGGGCGGGGTGGATTATTGTATATATGTTCTCCTTCAACAATGAGAAATCAGGCTCCCATTTTTAACTCATTTGCTCAAGCTTGGAATATAAGAAAAATAGTTTCAGAGTTGATAACCCATACCAGTGGAACAGGCAAACCTACTAAATGGAGTTCAGTATTTCTCAAGATAAAATGTAATATAAAAATGCACAAAAATTAAGTGTATTATTTGATGAATTTTAACAAATGCATACATTGTGTTACCTGTGGCCCAATTGTTTTTGTTAGCTTGGGCTGCCATAACAAAATACTACAGATTGGTGGCTTAAAACAACAGACATTTATTTCTCACATTCTGGAGGCTGTGAAGTCCAAGATCAAGGTGCTGGCAGATTCAATTCCTGGTGAGAACTCTCTTCCTGGCTTGCAGGTGACCACCTTCTTGCTGTGTCCTCACATGGCAGTGCACCAGGGGAATGTGGAGCTCTTTGTCTTTTTTTCTTTAATCCTCACCCAGGATATTTTTCCATTGATTTTTAGAGAGAGTGGAAGAGAGAAGAAAAGACAGAAAGAAATATCAATGTGAGAGAAACACATTGATTGGTTGCCTTCTGCATGCTCTCTGACCAGGGCCTGTGCAGGAGCCTGCAACCAAGGTATGTGTCCTTGACTGGAAACGAACCTGGGATCTCTCGGACCACAGATCAATGCTCTATCCATTGAGCCAAACCGCCTAGGACAACCTCTCTTTGTCTTTATATTTAAAGTATGACCTTCTTAAATATAGCTGGATCTTGCTTGGTTAGTCCATTTACAGTAAACATAATCATTGATATGGTAGATTTAAGTGCATATTCTTATTCTTTGTTTGCTGTTTGTCCCATCTGGTCTTTGTTCCTTCTTTTCTGCTATCTTTTGGATTAAATAGTTTTCTTGTGTGTTCCATTTTGTGTCCCTAATGACTTTTTAGCTATTCTTCTTTGGTTTGTTTTTAGTGGTTGCTCTAGCCACTACAATATGAAATTTTAAACATATCACAGCTGCTTTGAATTAATATTATACAGTTTCACATATAATATGGAAGTCTTATATTTCCATTTATTCTCTCCCATTCTTTGTGTATTATCACAATACATTTCACTTTACATGTTATAGATCCCACAATACATTGTTCTTATTTTAGTTTTTAATAGTAAATTGTGTCATAAAAAATTAGGAAAGTTAAGAAAAGGAAAAGAAAATGAGCCTTTCATATGTAGATACATATTTACCAATTCTGGAACTCTTTTTTTAAAAAAATATTTTTATTTTACTTTTTAAACATATTTTTATTGATTTCAGAGAGGAAGGGAGAGGGAGAGAGAGAGAAATATCAATGATGAGAGAGAATCATTTATTGGCTACCTCCTGCACACCTCACACTGGGGATTGGGCCCACAACCAGGGCATATGCCCTGACTGGGAATGGAACCGTGACTGGCTGGTTCATAGGTCGATGCTCAACCACTAAGCCATGCCAGCTGGGCAAAAGCAATGTATTTTATATTCTAGGAACGGTTGACCTTCAAGGACATAACTGTGAACTTCACCCAGGAGGAGTGGGGGCAACTGACCCCTGCTCACCGGAATCTGTACCGAGAGGTGATGCTGGAGAACTACGGGAACCTGGTCTCAGTGGGTAAGGTTGGGCTGTTTATCCAGAAACCTGCTCATTGCAGGAGAGCCATTGTTTCTAAATTGTTAAATGTCATGGATTCCCTGGATCTTGGCCTTGGATTCTGTGTTAGAGATGTCTTATTCCTTTGAAAATCCAGCCAGGGGCATATCTGATTCTCCTTCTTTTACCTTTTACTTTGTAGAGCTAAAATAGAAAAACATGCTGAGGTGCCCCTTTCCATTTTCAGAAATCCTAGGACTGGAACTAATTCTGGGGATGGTTCTTCGATCTCAACATAAGCATTCATACTCTTTTTTTTTTTTTTTACTGCATAAGCAGGATATGAATTTTCCAAACCTAGGGTGATTTCCCAGTTGGAGAAAGGAGAAGAGCCATGGATAACAGAGAAAGAAGGCCCAGGACATCCCAGTGCAGGTGAGCCAAGGCAGGTGGTAACCTTTTCACATGTAAATAGTATATTTTTAAAACTTATGTTTTCTGTTTGTTCCTGGTATAATAATACAGTTGGTTTTGTATATTGATCTTACAGCCAACCACCTTGTTTCATTCTGTTATTAATTCCAATAATTTGTTTGTACATTCTCTTGGGTTTTCTTTTTCAACTTATAATAATGAAAAAAATAATAAAAGCTGCAATGGTGTTCTTTCCCTACCTCTGGGTAAAATCTCAAAGAGATCCCATAAATGGTCTAGTCCCTTTAAATAATAACAACAGTCTGATTTTAGTAAAATGTTTAGTTCAGTGAAACTTCATTCAAAGTGAAATCTTTTCTTCTCCCCTAGCTTGGGCTGCTTCAGTCCTGGATACTGAATTGGGGAGGGGGACATAGATGGCTTCTCTGTCTTTCCCTGTCTTCTCCTCCTCCCCCACTATTCAAGACCAGAATCCGGGGCCTACAGAATGTAGACTCTATTCTTGCCTCCATTTAGAATTTGGAAATACTAATGATTTTTATAAGAAGTTATACCTTTTAGGAATACAAAGCTGTCAGTTGAAATATTAGTAATGGGTACAACAAATTATCAAGTAAGAAAACCAGTCCGAATTTTATTATTTTTACTTTATTTTTTGTTGTTAATCCTCACCTGAGGATATATTTTCCAATGATTTTTAGAGAGAGTGAAAGGGAGGAGTGGGGGGGGGAGAGAGAGAAAGAGAAACATTGTTGTGAGAGAGACACATCAAGTGGTTACTGGTTGTCTCTGCAGGCCTCGACTGGGGCCAGGAATCGAGCCTGCAACCGAGTTATGTGCCCTTGACCAGAATCGAACCCATGACCCTTCAGTCCATGGGCTGAGAAAACCAGTCAAAATTTTAAAGGTTAAAGGATATTTTCATAGAACATTGTAATAGCAGCAATATAGTCTGGGTTTCTTACAAGTCTTCTTTGCATAAATAACACTTCCAGGGACAAATGAATAAGCACAGGAAATAGAACAATGTGTAAGTTTTAATAAAAGACACCCCAGTGTTCTTGTGAATTTTCTTAGTACCAACATTATTTTTTGAACTAGTGTCTCTGGCTGCTGCTGGAGTGAGGAAGGAACATGTTGTGTTTTTTTTTTCTGAGAAGGTTTTCTAAAAGTAGTTGTCAATTAAAAAGACATGTTGTAAAGACAGCTCAAAAATTTCATTATTTAGTATTATTAGAAAGGACAGGACTAAAAAGCTCAAATTTTACTCTTTTTATAAAATCATACTTTTACTGTTTACTGTTTCTTAATTTAATTTCCCATTACCTCTCCAGGATACATAAACATATTTAAATATAATGAAAATCTCATGTACTTTATATGTATTGTTATCTAAATCTCTATAGCAATTGAGTTTTCAGAGCATAAAGTATTTGAGTTATTTGTATTTTTTCCATTTCTTTCAGACTTAAAGAGTAAAACAGAAACCAGTATGTCAACTGCAAAGGAACAGTTATATCAAGGCAGTATGATGGAAAGGTTCATGAGGGATGATGTAATTGATTCCACATTGAGAAAAGTCTCCAAATATGATGAGTTAGAAAGGCATCAGGTCACCAATGGAAGAGATGTAAGACAAGCCATCTTGCTCCACAAGAAGAGAGGCCAAGAAACTAACAAATTTGGGGAAAATATTGTGAGTTCAAATGTTATTATAGAACAGAGGTACTGTAAATATGACACACTTAGAAAGAGGAACAAATACAAATTAAATCTGATTAATCATCCAACAAGTTACATAAGAACAAAAACCTATGAATGTAATATATGTGAAAAAATCTTCAAGCAAACCATTCATCTTACTGAACACATGAGAATTCATACTGGTGAGAAACCTTTCAGATGTAAGGAATGTGGAAGGGCCTTTAGTCAAAGCGCATCTCTTAATACCCACCAGAGAATCCATACTGGTGAGAAACCTTTTGAATGTGAAGAATGTGGCAAAACCTTCAGACACCGCTCCTCTCTTAATCAGCATCACAGAACTCACACTGGAGAGAAACCTTATGTATGTGATAAATGTCAGAAAGCTTTCGACAAATTAGACACTTAAGTGAACATATAAGAATTCATACTGGGGAAAAGCCCTATGCGTGCACTGCATGTTGTAAAACCTTTAGTCATCGAGCGTATCTAACACATCACCAGAGAATCCATACTGGGGAGAGACCCTACAAATGTAAAGAATGTGGGAAAGCCTTTAGGCAGAGGATCCACCTTAGCAACCATAAAATTGTTCATACAGGAGTGAAAGCATATGAATGCACACGGTGTGGGAAAGCCTATAGGCATGACTCATCCTTTAAGAAACATCAGAGACATCACACTGGAGAAAAACCTTATGAATGTAATGAATGTGGAAAAGCCTTCAGCTATAATTCATCACTTACTCGGCACCATGAAATACACAGGAGGAATGCCTTCAGAAATAACGTGTAAAAATAGATTATAAAACAGATTATCCAACATGAGAACAAAAGCCAAGTTTAAATCAGTGATTTTATGCTTTTAATTTTCAGAACTCTAAATGTGAGTTATTGATATAATGATGCCAACTTCTAATTTTGCCCATTGTGTAAATAAACACTACATTGATAACTACTATCTACACTTCCATACAAAGCACTTAAAAATAAAGGATGGTCCTTCCAATTAAATTCAACAATGTGGAAAATTAAACACATTATTTTTCTGACTTCATGGTGGATTAATAAATTATTATTCATGGGCATTCAGTGATTTACAGACCAGTATATGGGAACTACTATTTAAAATGTCACCACTCCCATATTTTAAATTAAAATTTAATTTTTAATTTTTTGTTAATCCTCACCCAAGGATATTTTTTCCATTGATTTCTGGAGAGAATGGAAGGAAGAGGGAGAGAGAGAGAAACATCGCAGTGAGAGAGACACATTGATTGGTTGCCTCCCACATGCCCTGGGGTAGGGGATGGCCAGGGATCAGCCTGCAACTAGCTCATGTAATCCAGGGGCTGCAATACATTCTAATAGTGGACTGGGATGAGTACTTTGGAAAACCCAGGCAGTTTTCTCTCCATTTTTCACCTTCTTGGGTCTTCATTCTGGCTTTTTTTTGGTTGTTTTTTTTAAAAAACAAACAAACAAAAAAACACCTCATTGCAAATCATGGCTACCAGCAACTCCAGATTTTACATATATTCAGGTTCTATCACCCAGAATAAAGCTGCCTTCTCTTTCTCATTTCTATCTCAAAATCCCGAGGAAGGTTTCTTATTGGCCCAGCTAGGTCTGTGCCCACCTCTACAGTCAATTGTAGGCTGAGATCTCAGCTTCTATGAGAACCATGATGGTGTGGTGGTGGGAGGGAGGAACTGGACAGGTGGGAAAGAAGAGTTATTCATAGAATTCCAAATCTTATCCATTCTTCAATGCCAATTCACCAGGCCAGAAATTTAGAACAGGAAAGGATCTAGGAATTCACCTAATTGAAACTTCACTTTATAGATGAAGAAATGGAGAATCTTCTTTAATTACTCATGTCCTTTTACTTGAGTCAAACCTGTTTGAAAATTTTTTCCTTCTAAGTTTGTTAGCCTAGCTTTCTAAACACCTACTGTTAATGGCTGAACGTAGCTGAGCTGCTCTTTGCCTTTCTAAAAGGTTTACTTAGATCTGCTGCCCAGGAAATCTTCATAAGTTATACTTCAGAGCCTACCCATTGCCTTTGCCTTTTATCAGTGCCTTTGCCTTTTGTCATTCATTCTATTTATCTCACAGGAAGGTCTCCCTCCACTGATCATGGGATTATTCTTCCTCAGAGCTGTGTCCTTAGACATATTCTCTTCTCAAGTCACACATTTTGATTTTGTTAACACCCCACACTTCTGACATCTATGTTTTAGAAATACCCCCTGAGCTCCAGAACATCATATTCAACATCCCACTGGATATCTTCACTTGGATATCCCATAGTCACCTCACAATTTTTTCAATAAAATCTGTATTCCTTAACCCAGGAAGTGGTACCACCGCCTATTTAATACTCCCATTTAAACTTTTTCCTCTTCCTTTCATTCATTACTTCTCCCAATGCCATCAGGTCCTATATATTGTATGTAGGATTTAAGTTTTTATCTACTCCATTCCCACTGTCAGTACTTTAATTAGACTTGTAGTACTTCCTAACTGCTTAGATTTCCAATTGGTTTCTCTACATCTAGTCTGGACTCATCTCTCTATCCTCCCCACTGCTGCTAGAGTGATCATTATAAAGCACATATCTAATCAAACCACATTATTTTTTTTTAAAAATTCCTCAATGTTTTCTGAAGCATACTCAAGAAAGCATGCTTTGCTTCAGCCATAAAGACCTTATGGCTGGCCGGTGTGGCTCAATGGTTGAGCTCAACCTAAGAACCAAGAGGTCACAGTTCAATTCCTGGTCAGGGCACATGCAATAAAAACTGCTAAGAAAAGCAAAGAAGTGATGTCATAACAGTCAGGCTCGGGGTTTCTCAGGAAGGAGGCATAGGAGTGCATTTGAGAAGGGCCTGAAACGTTCATTTTTTGCTCTAATGATAACATGTCTGCTCAGTAACTATTACACCCTACCTTTATTTTACACTTTAAAATATAATTGTGTTACATTTCCCAATAAAAAGGTTAATTAAAAATTAAGTAAATAGAAAAGAGAAATACATTGATGAGACAAGCGCCAGCATCTTTGAAAAGCGAGTTCGCGGTTGTTCTCTCCGCTGGGAAAGCTGGTGCGAGGTGCAGAGGGGGACAGAGCAACCAAGGTGGCAAAGCGAAGACGCGCCATTTAAGGGACAGGGCTCCGTGCCAGGGAGAAAGGAACATGCCCAGACCTTTCCCGGGCACTGACTTGACAGTAGCCAGGGAACCGGCCCGAGTGGGCGCTTCCAGGTCAAGTGACAGCGCAGCTCCGTCACCAACCAATGAAACCGCCCGCGCAGCCAGCGGCGCGCAGGTGGGATCTGCCCTAAGGGGGCCCGCGCACTGGGGCTCTCCACTCGGCGCTGCGGCGGGAGGGACTCTGGGCGGATCCGCAGCCTCCGGGGAACGGGAACGGGGCGGCGCCGCTGAGGCCTCTGGGAGGGGGCGGGCCTGGCGCAGCCGCGGGGCATTCCGAGCCCGGTCTCCCGGCGGCTTTGTGTGAAGCCCGGAAGGGAAGCGCCGATGCCCGACCTGTTCCTGCTGGTGGAGGGTGGAGTCGGGAGCAGTTCCGAGGCCGCCGCGGAGCCGAGTGGCGTCCGGGATTCGCAGGAGGACCCGAGGTTAGGGGGAGGCCGGCGAGTGGGGTGGCGGACGGAGGGCTGCGTTTCGAGCTCAGGGGTCTGTCCCCGCCATTGCCACGCCCCTCACCCTCCTCCCCGAGGGGCACGACTCCCTGGAAGCGGTGCGTCTAGGCTGCCCGCGCGGCCAGGCTTCTGAGGGTTCTGCACCTTTCACTCCCGGAAGCTCCTGCGGTCCGCTGGGACCCCTCCCGGGGGGCTGTCATGCCTGGCTGCTCCAGGACACTAGGAAGCGCTCAGAAGTCTTTAGGGCGTGCATGGGACTGGGGAGACCGTGGTTTGGGGCCGGTGGAAAGGTGCCTCCTGAAGGCCAGCGTTCTCGGAGCCCGTGAGCCCGGGCTGCTGCAGACAAGCAGGATGCTAGGGTGCAGGCAGCGGCCGTTCCGCAAGCAGCACGCACCCAGAGAACGCTCTGGGTGACCTGCGGTCTCCGCCCGAGTTTCGGGCTGAGCTTGAGGCTGGAAGAGGAAGCTGACCGCCGAGCTCCTGGGGACCTTTTTTAAAAAGTCCTTTTACTTGCAGGGCGCAGGGGTTGGATCGAGTAGCTGCATCCAAGGTATGGGGAAAACGAAGTCGCGGAGGATTTGCCCCTGGAGAGAGGCAAGCGTTGCCTAGGACCTGGGGTGGGCTACGGTTTGTGCAGTGTGGAGCCGAGAGGGGAAACGCCGCAAAGTGAGGGAATGGTCAGGCGAGAAAGGACAAAAAGCCCCCATTCTGCCACGGCAAAGCCCGGAGTTGCTCATCTGGATTCACGGATGCAGACCTGGTGTTTCAGAGCTCCTCTCTCCTCCCCCAGCTTTGTCATTTCAGCATCTGCCTTTCCCCGTGCGGAGGAAGAGCAACCAAGTCCCCGGTGAGTAGTTTTCCTCTCTCCTGAGGTTTAATCTCGTCTGTCAGAGGGAACTGACACACCGCCTCTTCCTTGGGAAGGGGAAGAAGATCCGCATTTGTTCAGTGCTAATATATATGCTGTTTTGTCACTCAGTCGTGTGGGTAGCCGAGTACAGCTGGAAGGAATACTCTAATTTTAAAGGTGTATCAGTAGCCACGGGAAAACTTGCCCAAGAGTGAGTACTTCCTAAAGCAAGTAGCATACTACTAAATACGACTGACCTAGTCAGGATCAGATTCAGAATCCAGATCTGTAGGCTCCCCAGACTCTTGATACAATGCTGGTGTTTCCCAAACATCTCATTCACTTGCCACCTAATGATTTTGCTATACCTATATACTCTCTGTATTGTTATTCTCGTATTTTAATTTTTTACACTTATTTCAAAATCAAACTTGTCCTAAGAAATACTACCTATGACATACATTTGATGGATGCTTTAATAGCTTTACATGTATTCTAAGATACTTCTAAAAATATTGATCAACATACCATGTAAAATCATCTCATGTCAGAAAGATACAAATTGCATTTTGGGACACCGTGCACTGCATCATAACCTTGCTGAGATATTTTCTGCATGGGAAAGTCTAAGCAACCCATCTGAGTCTAAATTATCCATCCCCCGTACATTGTTTTCTTCTTTTAGATGAATAATTCCACACACAATGAACCTCTCTCCCCTCTTTGTGTCTTTTCCACAAAACATTTCACTTACCTGTTCAGGGATACTCTGTTCTCAATGTTGCATGAAAAACAAGTAGAAAGTCCATACCTTAAACAGTACTGTCCAATAGAGCGTTCTGTCATCAGGGGAAATGTTCTAAATCTGTGCCTTATAATGTGGTACCCACTAGCCATATGTAGCTACTGAGCACTTAAAATGTGCCTAATGCAACTCAGAAAATGAGTTTTAAATTTTATTTAATTCTATTTAAGTTTAGTCACTTGTGGCTGGTGGGTACATATTGAACAACCCAGGTCTAGATATTTGAAATAAAATATTTTCAAGGTCAGTTGATTTGGATTTTGTGCCCTGTCCCTGATGGTTGGGGAAAACCCCAAAGTATACCTGTTCATTGTCATTTAACTTTAGTTTCTTGGTGGAGGGAAAAGATACTCTCCAACCTTCAGGGACTTCATGCTCCAAATAACATTACTCATTTTGAAATTGTCATCATTTAAGGCACATTTGCAGTTTCAGACACGTGCAAATATGCAGCTTCTGTGTTTTAATTCTATTTAAGTATACCATTTTCAAGGCATCAGTTCTTAAGCTTTAAACCTGGGAGTTGGTGCATTCAGCTTATTCATTGCTTATTAGAATAGCAAGGAGGAAATGGCCCATAGTTATCTCAATTGACTTAAATTCTGTGTCAAATTACTTATTTTTTCTGGCACCCTGAGTCAAATACTAGTGGACTGGTCATGCCTTGTTTTGTTTTCTCTCTATGCAAGGTTAGATATGTGA